GCTATATAAAAAAAATACCTGAATTATATTTTCTAAGTCTTCTAGAAATCAAGTTAAAGATAGTCACAAAAACCGTTTTTGGTATATTCTAATGACAACCAATAAGAATACCTTCATATGGGCTACTACAGTATTCTACTATATTTATTATTTAAATGTAATTGTTTCTTGCTTTTGAGGATGTACTTTCTTTTATCTCATCAATTGATATCATGGTTTTCCATCTTTACTTTATATCATAATGTATATGCAATATCTTCTTTAGAAGGAACCTATCAAAGCGCCACAGATGTGCAGGACACCTTGGTCTGCTTAAAAGTTCCTCAACCTAACATCTTTCACTTCCATTAGAAGACTCTTTCAACAACTGTAACCTCCCAGTGTCCTTAGGCCCAATTAAAAAGATGGAAATAAAACAATATGGAAGAAATTGATGGCGTTGCTTAAAGTTATCCAATTTCCTAACACTTCATCATTTGCTTTGTCATTGGCCATAATAAGTACTCACAAGTGGAGAGACAGCAGACAGACATGTAGAAGATTTAAGGACTTTTCTTCAAGCCTGTGTCCCCTAATGTGACAGCGGTAGGCTTATGGTTTTACAACACTAAAATGCGGGGTTCGATTCACCACGGTGGACACAGCAATTAGCCCAATGTGATTTTGCTAAAACAAAACAAATCCAAATCAAGTCTCTTGCCTTCTTAGAACCACTGCAACTGTGATAACATAGATGGTGAATTAGTACTTTTATTGATCTGTTCAAAGTAGTGGAGGATAAATAGAAACATGTGTACATGCATAATGTACAGATCTATTCTGGTATGTTGATATTATGGTTGTACGTATTTACATCACCTTACTCTCAAACACTATAAAAGTAATTGCATGGAAGAGTGGGTGTAAGTTTAAATGGGACCACATTCAGTAACTTTGACGTACTTGGTTAGTGTTGATTAACGAATTAATAACTTACCAACAATATTTTCTATGAAAGCAATGCTTTGTTTTTCTGTCGTGGAACAGAAAAACTGCAAAACAACAAAAAATATAGGTAATTTATAATATAAGTAAAATAAACCTCAGAATATCAAATACATTTCTTTATAGATTCACAGTGGATATATCTAGTGTAGCAGGCATAGCTTTACAGAATGATAGAAAGCAGGGACTCAAAAGTCAGTTACAGGAAGCAACGAATTATATAAAGTGCATAATATGTCAAGGTATATTGTTCTGAAGCAGAAAGAGAGTCAGATAAAAGTTGCCAGAACTGCCAAATGTGATGAAGTAGCTGAAAGATTAACTCCAGAAATTGATAACCAGTTATGGATGAAGGACGAATCTTCAAAATGGCACAAAAAGTGCCGAAATCTCTACTACAATGAGAAAAGTCGTAATCATGCATAACGAAAAGGCTAGATATTGTAAATGATCCGATTGAAAATGACTCCTGCCTATCTGACCCTATTTGAACCCTAGTTCATGTGTGTAACTTCTATAAAAACCTGCCACAAAGGAAAAAAACCCACTTTTAACGTACATCTAAAAGCAGGGAAACCATAATCTTTCAAAAGTAAAATCACTGTAACGTGATCTGAATACCAAAAGAACATTTTTAGTATAGCATGTACATTATTGAGAAATAGAGTAAATTTGTAAGGGTGCGTAGATTTTTCAAGAATCTACTATTATCACTGATGTACCACTTGCAGGTGCAACATCAACGTGAGTAAAGTTCACTCCCATATAATCTAAGATAGGCTAAGCACCTTTTCTGTGCATTAAAATAAAAAGTAAAACATTATATGGCAACATTTATTGTCATGTAATTTATGAATATAATTAAAATGTGGATATTTCTGTTAATATAGTCTGACGTTCATCTATATTTTGACTTCTAGAAGATTGATCATAATATTTTTCAGGTTGCCCACCTGGGCATTGTTTAATTAAGCATCCATGTAGTCAACTATAAATAGCAGACGGGTTGGGTAAACGGATCTGGCCTCCCGGGTGCATGTCCTCGTGCAGGGACTAATAAGGTATAGAAGTGTCAGTATGATGAAAACCCCTTGCTGAACCCTTTAACTTCCTCAAGATATGACAAGTCATTACACACTGAACCCTAATAGATGTGAAAAATCTGAAGCCACTAGTTCATAGTTCGTTTCTAGGCCGTTTACACCAAAGTATTTTTAACTCGTAAAATTCCTAGAAACATCTAAAAAAATTTAAAGTTTTCGTTATGACTTTGTAAAAAAATGGCACACATGTTGAGATGTTAATTCAGGAATGTTTTAAAGCATTATAAAACGTAATTAACTTTAACATCCAGTGTTTTTTTTTAGTTACTACCAATATTGGTAAATCGACTGATAACCAGCTGGTGTTTATATAAAAGCTCTTCATCAACGTAACGAACTTTGAATGTATTCAAAGTTTTCTCTCTGTTGTAATTATTATATACCTTTCGCTGTTGCTACTCGTGTTTAGTTAGCATGTTCATAAACATATCTTATGTCGAATAATACCATCGAATGCTCAGTAAATAGAGGCGAGCTTGTGTGACTCACAAACTCAATATATACATACACACACACACATATATATATATATATATATACTGTGTGTATTGGGATATTGATAAGAGCACTTCTAAAACCGTTTTTTGTTTGTAATTTCTTTGTAATTAAGCACAAAGCTACACAATGGGCTATTTGTATCGAAACCTGGTTTCTAGCGTTGTAAGTCCGCAGACATATCGCTGTGCCTCCAAAACCAGTGGTATTGTCTAAAATACCCATAATACTCCAACGCCCGTGATATACATAACTCAAATGAACATGATCCCTTTCAAACATGTGTTTCTTTGTATTGCAGAGTCGTATCACTCAATGTAAACTCTATGGCAAGATTACTCATTTTATTACGTGTAAGTGTGTTCAGTGACCTGTCAACTTTAGAATACTTTTATAGTGATTGTGTATTTTAACTTTAATTTTTTTTTCATGAAAACCTTCCGTTTCTGAGAAAACGTGGCGCCTTCCCCACCACTCCTTTCTGTACACTCTCTGGCGTATTTCACACACAAAATTCTGGCTTGCCAGTAAATGGTGCTTAAGTTCAGTAAAACTTTGGCAAACACCAAAATGAATTATAACGAAACGTATCGAACTCGTCAACGCTTTTAAAGGCGAAACAAATTGTAATTCATTTGTAGTACTTACATAATTATTTAAAATCTGTAAGTATTGTTAAACTCTAAAGATATTATACCGGTTTTTATGGGGTATCCTTTTCTTTAATAATTTTGTTTTTAAGTCAAGTAATCATTGTTACTCTTGTCGACGTCAGATAAATACAGGTAGGGCGTTAAGATATCGTCTGCCCGTTTAGTCCTAGCGGTTTCTGAAGATTGGATAAAGACAGGATTACTCAATGTTGTACACATTGATATGTTAAAGAAAACAGTTTATGGTTCATAGGTCACCACCAATATAGTAAGTTGTAGGACCACCTACTTGATTTTTTTATTTTCTTCACGTCTTAGAAACATACTTTTGTCTTACTCTAAACTTCTAGGATGGGGGTCTATATGTCGCTTAATGACTTCATTCTGCTAATAATATGTTTTCTGGTGTGCTTTTGAATGCAACGGTTACTTTTATTAAAGAAATAATAGTTTTTTTCTAAAAAAACAAACAAACTTTGAGACACCTTTGTGACTCCACTTTATTATGACCTATGCATAATTTATATTCGGTAGTTTAGAAAGAAAAGTCAGCGAAAAGTCACCTACATCTGCTCAAAATCTTATAGATCACACTACATGAACCTGATTGGAATGTCTTCAGTGTCCTCGTACAAAGCACAGGAAGTACAGTGCTACCTATCGAGTGTGCGAGGAAACAACAACGTCTGTTATAAAACTAAGCTATATTGTAATATAAATAAAACAATAGGAAAAAATGAGTTATCAAGAATCTAACAAAATATTTGTTAACAATATTAATTGTTTACTAAACATTTAAATATATACAAACCCCGTCCTAGTACTTGCATTAGAAAAATTCACCGTTTTAGTTAAGAGTTGAAGCACCAATAACTGTACTGTGGGTTGTGTAGGCAGCATAACTTTCGTGATCCAGTGACTTCTGTTTTTCAATAGGAGTTTGTAGATTGTCGACCATTCTTAACTAACGAACTTCTTTATTTATTTATGCCGACATGATACTCTTCTTCTGTATATCTTTGTCTATCAAAAACAAAAACAAAACTGTTACGCTGAATAATAACTATCCCAGACTTTACAATGTGTAAAACTTACTGCCTTACAGTAAATGATAAAACTAAATCATTGACAACTGCAGCTTTTAGAATTCCCCCAGTGGCACAGCGGCATGTCTGCGGACTTACAACGCTAGAAACCGGGTTTTGATACCCGTGGTGGGCATTGCACAGATAACCCATTGTGTAGCTTTGTGCTAAACTTCAAACAAATAAACAAAAGCTTTTAGAAAAAGTAACACTCGTCAGACTAGTCAGTCAATAATATGAGAAATTTACACTGACAACTCGGATATAAGGGGAAGTATATTTAATGTAACTCTTGCTTGCACATAGTTTTGGTTAGATTGTATGCACGTTGGTTTAAGTTACGTAATGTTGCTTGTATGACGTTGTTATTTGTAGTAGTATAAAGGAGTTTTATAATTTTCGTTTAGATATTTCCCCAAAATACGTTTCAGCTGTACCCTATTCATTTGACATATATCATATAATGCGTATATATATGTGCAATATCATAAAGCAGTATTGAGTCTATTATAACCAATCTCAAAAACAGACCTACTTTTCAAATACTTTTTGAATTATTTACTGGTATTTAATATATATGTAATTATTACTATTTCAAGCTTGACTAAGTGTATATGATATGTAATTACGAAACCGCTGTTAATTGCAGCTTATTACTAAAAAGTACTACTATTTTTCAGTATTCTGCGTTGTTGAGATTACCAGACAATATGTCCTATCACGAAAAGATAGAACACGTGGACCACATCCTAGACGTGTTGGACCTAAGCCATTGTCAGAACACTGGTAGGTTTTGGTTTTGCCACACATTTTTGTTCTAATTAAGCACATATTTTCTATTTAATTAAATCTTCTAATTTTACTACTCTTCATTATCATCTTTGCCACAGAAAATGTTTACACCACCCGTACCAATGTGCCACCCGTACCAAGCAGATTAACAGTTTTTGAGAAGCTCTATGTTCAGGAAACTTAGTTTTTAATTGCATCAATGTTTACGAATTTGAGAGAGATTTCACAAAGGTTGAGAAATATTTAAAATGTAAATCCATTCCTTTGAGTTAAACGTATATAGAATGTTAAAACAATAGCAAATTTTAGCATTGAACACTTTCAGATATCAGATTTAGATTACATTTTAGGATGTCATCTAAATCTCAAACAAAAGAATTATTAAGTTTATTCGTTTGTTTTTAAGCATGAAGCTGCTCAACGGGCTATCTATGTTGTGACCACTGATAGGATCGAACCCCCAAATTTAGCGTTATATGACATTAAGCTTACGGCTGAGCCTCTGAATATACGCAAGTTATTTACTGGGGGGGGGGGGAGGTAATATTTTCTCAGCCACAAAATAATTAGGTAATTTAAGAATATGACAATTAGCGCGACGTGCATGTCTTATTGAATACTGTGATAAAGACCTCTCATAAATTATTTAGGGAAATTTAAGCATGGAAAGAAAAGTATATAAAATAATGTAGTTTAGACAAACAACCATAGTCTGAATCAGATGTCGGTCCTCTAGTAGATTAACTACCTTCCTCTCACTTTTTTGTTTTCATCTTTTGTTATCTTTAACTTCAGTTAGAAAAAGTACATACATTAATATATGTCATGGTTAATCAAAAATATTCGGATAATGAACCCAATTTCAGTCTCAGAAATTGAAAAATAAAATAAAAATGACGGTCAACACATTAGATTTATTAGTGTCTATAAATGACCCATTTTCTCTTGTTGTAAGTTCTGCTCTAATATCTACCCTTGACACAATAAACACAAACCTTTGCCATCTAACTTCTGACAATAATTAATGAAAAAAATAAATGACCCATTTTCTATTGTTGAAAGTTCTGCTCTAATATCTACCCTTGACACAGTAAACACAAACCTTTGCCTCTAACTTCTGACAATAATGAATGAAAAAATAAATGACCCATTTCTATTGTTGCAAGTTCTGCTCTAATATCTACCCTTGACACAGTAAACACAAACCTTTGCCTCTAACTTCTGACAATAATGAATGAAAAATAAATGACCCATTTGCTATTGTTGCAAGTTCTGTTCTAATATTTACCCTTGACACAATAAACACAAACCTTTGCCTCTAACTACTGACAATAATTAATGAATTGTTCACGGTGTTGTTAACAGGCCAAACTATTACCTAATGTGTTATCGAAAGAATCACGTACCGTACAAACTCTTTGAACCTAGCATAGTTTGAAGGTTATGGTGCTTGATTAGCAGTTTGTGGATCTAGGAATCAAAACCCGGCGCCGAATACACTCAACCTTTCAGCTGTGGGAGTGTTGTAATGCAATGGTCAATCTCATTATTCATTGATAAAAAGTAACCTAACAGTTGGTGGTGGATGCTGATGGCGAGTTGAGTTCCTTGTGGTCGACAGTTCAAAGTTAGGAACAGCTGCAAATAGCCCTAGTAGTTTTGCTATAAACCAACAAACAAAGAAACGAACGAACGAACTTTTTGACAGTACTTAATGAGTTTCTCTCAAGCTTATTATGAAAATATATTTAAAAGAATAACAATAATTTGCTTAAACGTCAAGTTCAAGATTAGGTGCTTAGTTTCAGGTAATATAGACATAGGCATATTTAGAGGATATCATTAAAGTCTAGTTTCAGGTAATATAAATATAGGCCTATTTAGAGGATATCATTAAAATTTAGTTTCAGATAATATAGATATAGGCCTATTTAGAGGATATCATTAAAGTCTAGTTTCAGCTAATATAGATATAGGCCTATTTAGAGGATATCATTAAAGTATAGTTTCAGGTAATATAGATATAGCCCTATTTAGAGGATATCATTAAAGTCTAGTTTCAGGTAATATAGATACAGGCCTATTTAGAGGATATCATTAAAGTCTAGTTTCAGGTAATATAGACGTAGGCTTATTCAGAGGATATAATTAAAACAGATCAGTAAAACATTTTGATTTCATAAAGCATACAAAATATACCTGTATTCAGGAAACATATGATATTAAAGTGACCTTTATTCCAATTAAGTGAAAGGGGTACAGTCATTTGAGAGAAGTAAAACAAAATATTTTTTTATAGATAACGGTATTAAAAATGAGTCGCAGTGGTTCACGGAGAAGTGTCAGGTATAGGGAAAAAATATAAATAAAAAGTTGAAAATTATGGCTTTTTACTTTCTTTCATGATATTTTTACTGAATGTTAGTTAATTATATTTAAATCATATAAGTTATATGTAGCCTATGAGACTATGTCATAATTTCATACTGATATGAAATATGTATACTTCTGCCAATGAAAACGTGAAAACAATCACATCGTTTCTGTTACAGCTACTATGCGCGCTCTAGTTGAGTTTATTATTTGAGTGTTTGGGTAAACAGGCTAAACAACAGCTATTAAAGTTTTCACATTACTTATAAGGTTTAACTGGTCAGGTTCGAAGGGTAAGACTATTGTTCGTTACTACATATATAGTTATAAGAGATTCGACAAAGTTCTTGCTAAATGTATTATAGAGAAAGACAACTTTTAGGATCATAACCTTTAATGATTATATATGACTTTTGTCAGCTTTTTTTTTTTGGCATCTAAATCATTCCTCATTTATCACTGATTTGACAAGATCTATGCTAAGATTATTCTACAGATGTTTTACTTGATTTATCTTCAGTTATAGGAGACGTGATGAAGCGAGGTCTGTCTGGAGGGGAGAAGAAAAGAGCCAACATCGCCAGTGAGCTGTTGACAAACCCATCAATTATATTTCTTGACGTAAGCCTTTAAAACAATAGCTGTTAAATCCACGTTATGTTGTCATGTCATCTATTAGCATTGTTTAAAAGCTAGTGTATAAAAATCGCATACCTCAGATAGCTGTAGTTACACGGATGTAATTTTTTCGTTGTTCTTGGTTAATAGCCAGTACTATCACTTAAACCTAATTATTCATTAATTACCAGTTACTTTACATTCTATATTTCGGTTGCTTATCTACTCATATCTTCATGGGAGTCCTGGGAAACACTTTATTTGGTGAAAGGAGACGAGATTCAATATTGGGTCAACGTTTTAGAAAGGCAGATTATCTACCCTTTCGGGGCTCTCATAATCCAGAAGGATTTTGTATGTTTTGTTTTTACTCTTCACTGAGTCTTTAAGTAGTTTGGTGTGCACTAACTACGATCGTATTGTGTTGTGACTTTCGAATACTGTTCTGTCTATACTGTTTACATATCCTTTTCATGTTTTCAGTGATACCTTTAACATAAGATAATATGGCTGTGTATGTGTAAATTTCGCACTTATTCTCAGTGTTTTTTCTTTATCAAATGTTTAGCGAACCCCCTGTCAAGGGTAGTCGCAGTGATGCATTTTCTCCCCTTTTCTAAGCAACCTCTATATTAGAAATCGTATTTAATTTGGAAACTAGGAAGCCTCTGGCGCTAGTCTTTATACTGTTGGGTTTGTTTGAGCCGTAGTTGAGGTATTTTATCAGTATCTGTGGGTTTCCTGTAAATTACTGTGGTGTATGAGTTATAGTGATCACCCCATTTAGGAATGGGGACTTGTTATTTTCTTCTTCTCAATTGTGATTTGTATTTCTAGATTTTGTCTGCTCAGGCAGTTTATGAATACTAGAATATGTGTGTATTGGCAGTAATGTGTAGTCATAATACGAATATATCATTAGCATAACTAAGCCAATTACTGCGTGGGAGCTTACGGTAACTATTTTGAGGGTGTTATCTTCGAAATGTTTCACGTAGAGGTTACCAAGTACTGGTGAAAGGGGTGCGCCCATAGCTAGGCCCTTTTGTTATTGGTTTTGTTTGTTTGTTTGAGTTATGCACAAAGCTACACAATGGGCTATCTGTGCTCTGCCCACCACGGGTATCGAAACCCGGTTTCTAGCGTTGTAAGTCCGTAGACATACCGCTGTGCCACTGGTAGGGGCTTAGTGGTAGTATTCATCTTCATGTTGGAAGTACGTTATGTTGACACAAAAGGTTGTGGGTTCTATTATTGTAAAGATTGTCAATTAAAAGTGTTGCTCGAGAGTTCTATCATTTTCAAGGTGTTGGCAGAGTAGTTGTAGCGTTTCAGGGGCTGGTATGATCGTGAAGAGGTCGGGTACATCGTAATTGACCAATGTGTCTTTGAGGTTATCATGATAGCTTTTATGATCTCTACAAAGTTTACTGAATTCTTAATATTTTAGGATGGCTTACGGAATTGAACCTCTTCTCCTACCATCACATCAGTTCTCGGAACTTCCCTGGAAATGGCAGCAGATTGGCAGCTAAAACATAGGATGTTTATTAATTAATAATTAGTATCTAATAATAATAATAATCACAATAAAAAAAACAACGAATAGTTAGCTTGGCTAATCATGACAACAACTGACATACGATTAGCATAATATTTCGGTAAGGTATAACTGTTTGTTTGGACTAGTATGTTATTGGTTAAAACAGATAATTCCTATAATACATAAGTAGTTGAATCTAGTTAATGAAAGGTGATGAAATATGAGCGAATACGTTATATAATAAAGTTTTCTAATCTGATTTACAGCATCTGGAAGCAGAGGGCGCTTGAAAGTTAATTATGAATAATCACATATTTATTAAAATATTAAATCTTCATGATACAAGAATGAAATTATCATTTTTTCGTTTTTGGTCCCATTTCGAAAACTTTGGAATTGGATGCTTAACAAGCACATACATTTTTTTATTCATCAAGTTTAGTTTTAGAAATAAGTTAGAATATAAAGATAATAACAGAGCTGTTTGTTCGATATTTCAGGAGCCAACATCAGGTTTAGATTCTAGCACTGCTTTTTCTCTTATGTCTATGTTAAAGGACTACGCTGAGAAAGAGAACAAAACCGTGATAATTACAGTTCACCAACCTTCTAGTCAAATATTCTACATGTTTGGTCGTCTACTTCTGCTTTGCAACGGACAGGTATAAAGCAATCACCACTAAGAAATTACCAATTTTTTTCCTGTTTTTTATTAATATCCTTAGCTCTGTTAAATTATAAGTTATTTATATATGCCTCAAAAACGTTTATCAAAAATAATACATTCAGTTTAAGAAATAAACAAACATGATACAGACCTCTTGGAGCAGGAAGGATTGATGCCTAAACAAATATTAGGTTTTGTAGAGATTTTTGGTTAGATTAGGAGTTCTCAAATTGTGGGTCGCAGAAGGCTAAAAAGATGGTTTTGAATGGGTTGAAAAGATGCAGCAAATTTCTTTCGATTTTTTTAGCAAATACTAAACCTTCTCAACCTCTTCACCGTTTAGCTGTGCTACGGGGTAGACGTTTCTCTTTTATTTCTTCCTTCATATTTTCGCCAAAAACCACACAAGAATTATATGCGTATAACAATTCATAATTTTTAACTGATAGACAAGAGGGAACAAGACCCATCTATAACTCTTAGTTATGCTAACCGAATAGTGGGATTTGACACGTCGCTCATACAGTGCTCCCACGGCCCCAAAGTAGTTGACACGTTTATCGATGACGGGAAGTAAACTTGAATTTCCCGGGTTCACAGTCCGGGCACGCTAGACGCTTGAGCCCAGCCCTTCTTTTCAGCATTCTACATTTTTGTGACTGAGAGTTTTCAAGTTATGGAATAAATAAATCGAATTCTATGTGTAAAAAAGTATTATTATCCTAGCGTTTAGTTTTTTAAAATGGGAGCTTTTCTGTTGATTTTAGTTATCTTATAAATGGGGAGGGTCTAAATTGTTTCTGTTCACTGTCACAAAAATGGTGCAGGCCTGACAAAACTTGAGAACCCCTGGGTTAAGATTAACTTTGTAGCGTTGATTTTGACATTTTAGTACCGGGGCTTTAGGTATGGTATTCAACTAAAGAATGAAAGATTGGATAATTCATAACATTTGTCTTACTTAGTAGCAACCCAAGCCCAAGTATTTTGTATTAGAATGGGAAAGGGTAAAAAGTCATGTTACTTTAAAGGCTGTCATAATGTTACCCAACTCGGTTTTAACTTGTCTACATTGAATTTATAAAAATGTTACTTATACTGAAACTAGCTGCTTCTTATGAAGAGTTAAAAACAGCATGTTTTTTTTCTTCAACTGAATCCTCTATGAAAGCTTTAACAGACTCTACCTGTCTTACTATTTGTAAATTTATTTTGACTGACCTTTGATTATTTAGTGGCTCATTTTCATAGCCTTACAATTGTTATTTTAGCTGTGTTAACCCTTGTTTAAGAAAGACTTTGCTACAGTTAATTCTAGTCTAAATTTGAGCATGATTAAATTTATTATTTTAAGTTGCTTTTCTTAGTTCAAAGCTACACGATGAGCTATCTGTACTCTGGAGGCCCGGCATGGCCAGGTGGTTACGGCGCTCGACTCGTAATCTGAGGGTCGCGGGTTCGAATCCCCGTCACACCAAACATGCTCGCCCGTTCAGCCGTGGGGGCGTTATAATGTGACGGTCAATCCCACTATTTGTTGGTAAAATAGTAGCCCAAGAGTTGGCGGTGGGTGGTGATGACTAGCTGCCTTCCCTCTAGTCTTACACTGCTAAATTAGGGACGGCTAGCGCAGATAGCTCTCGTGTAGCTTTGCGCGAAATTCAAAACAAACAAACAAACTGTACTCTGTACACCGCAAAAAATCGAACTCCGAATTTCAATGTTGTAAGTTTCGAAACTTACCATTGACCCACCGGATGATATTATTTTAAGCAACACGGTGAATAAAAAAAATCATATCTGTACCCCTATATTAAATTTAAGTTGAAGTTAAGCCTAATTCTAAAATTTTTCGTGGTTAACGTTTCTTTACGCTTTTGTGTTTATCAGCGAATATAAAATGTTGTTGTTGTTTATGAGCTGTGGCTTATTGCAAACCATTGGTAGTGATTCCAAACGTAATAATGTTCACAATCGTCATAGAAAAATAATATTTTGGTAGAGCTTTTGTAACAGAAGAGCGTAATGGTATTGTTTATATTTTATGGAGTATAGTAGGATAATTACTTCTTGAAATATAGAAAAACAATCCACTCATCTTTTTCTTCCCGTACAATATAACTTTTAGGCCTAAGGCTTGTGTGTGGTCTCTTTAAAATATACGTTCTATTCTACAAGTAAAACGTTTATAAGTTTCTATCTATTTAAATGGCACGCAGTTGTGTGAGAATACAGCGTGAAAATCTGAGAGCACTATATACTTTTCTTTTTCAGTTGGCCTATTTTGGTGAGACCAGCCAGGTGGTGAACTTCTTCTGTGAAATAGGGCTCCAAATATCACCTCATTATAATCCCGCTGACTTCATTAGTAAGTGTCCGCGATAGAAGTAACTCTATACACCAAGTGGTTATTTCGTGGCCAAAAAAGTAAAATAATTATAATGTAATGCTTTCACTGCTTATTTCAGTGGTTATTTTTGTATTAGAGTTATTTTCTTTATTTTCGTTTTTTTTGTTTTCGGAATATAATTCTTGAGGTTATATTTTGATTTTGTTGCCTTGTGCTTTTAAAATGTTGAATTATAAAATTAAAAATTCTTTGAGTTTGAAACATTTTTTATCTTAGATATTTTGATGACGCCTTAGCATGTTTAGGTTCTGATCAAATGGTTGAACTTTTTTTAAGTTGTTTAAACAATTCATATCCTGATATAAAGTTTACTGATGAAAATACCCCCCTGTGGCACGGCGCTATATCTGTGGACCTACAACGCTAGAAACCTAGTTTCAATACCCCTGGTGGGCAGAGAACAGATAGCCCTTTGTACTTAACTTTAAACAAACAACAAATTAATGAAAAAAAGGGAGACATTTCATTTCTTAGTATAATAATTAAAAAAGGTGGCCAGTGCTGTTAAAACAATGACAACAAAATTAAATAAGCCACATACCATGATATATTTTGCTCATTATAAGCGACATAATTGGCCTTATTAAAACTTTGCTGGTTCCTGTTAAAATTGTTTGGAATTCGAAATAAAGTCTAGGGGAAGAAAAAATTATCTAGAAAATATATTTGTTAAAAGTAATCATTTCTTTGCAGTTTTTTGTTACAATATGTACAGCAGTCCTCGAGAAAGAAGAGTATTAAAAATTTGGGTTATTGTGTCATTTCGTTCATGCTTGGATTGTAAGCTGAGGTAAATGGAATGTGGGTAGGAATAGCAAAAGGTTGTAAAAGTCCTCTATCGGTAGTATTTATAGTTACACCTAGAACCGTTTTTATCTAAAAAAATAAAGTTACGACTGCTCACAAACAGGTGGCTTATAGCATTGAATGTAGGGAGTGAGAAAGAGTTTATACATAGGAGAATATAGACGCCACCTATCGTCAATAAATAATAATGAACAAGGATAATCAAATATTGGTTAAACATTTTAAAGATACAAGGCCTAAGAGTAAAACTAAAACCTGGAGAATTATCTGTTCTGAAAAAATGTCCCAGACAAACGAAAAATAAAGGAAGCACTATTAATAAAGAAAAATAAAAAACGTTACACTATACTCAATTAAATGTTTTGGACTATGACGTCATCCGTTGTTGTGTATATGAACGTAATATACGATTGTCAATTAAACCTGACGACACCGCGTTCTGTCATGTTTTAATTGTGAATCCTTTTTAGCTGTTTAATTTTTAATAGATTTACTTCTATTCGCAAGCCTTACATGCGGAAGAAAAAAATATCAATAATAGCAAGGTTTAGTTTGTTTTCAATTTATGCAGAGCTACACGAGGGCTATATGCATTAGCCGTCCATAAATTAGCAGGAAAGGCAGCTAGTCATCATCACCCATCGCTAAATCTTGGGCTACTCTTTTTTACAAACGAATAGCGGGATTGGCCGTAACATTATAACGCCCCCAAGGGTGGGCATGTTTGGTGGGACGAGGATTGGAACCCGCGACCCTCAGATTGTTAGTCGAGCGCCCTAACTACCTGGTCCTGCCGGGCTAATAGCAACATTGAATGAATGTTTAATCCGACAATATCCCACATCTAAACCACCATTTACCGTCTGCTGCCAGTTGAGAGAAGATATAAGTGCTTCTGATGAAACAGAATATTAAAAATAAAGATTAAAACAGTTTAGCACAATCGGACCGCTGGAGGTGAGTAGTAAAACTTTTATCCTGAAGATTGGACTCAGTACCACCCTCACCCCATATTGGTAACATACTGAATGCATATTTTACTTCTCCAACTATTTAGTTTGAACCCTTGTTTTATTTGTCTGTCTTTTATGGAGCCCGGCATGGTCAGGTGGTTAGCGTACTCAACTCGTAATCTGAGAGTCGCTGGTTTGAATCCCCGTCACACCAAACATGCTCGCCCTTTCAGCCGTGGGGGCGTTATAATGTGACGGTCAATCCCACTATTCGTTGGTAAAAGAGTAGCCCAAGAGTTGGCGGTGGGTGGTGATGACTAGCTGCCTTCCCTATAGTCTTACACTGCTAAAGGTGG